GCCCTCGAAAAGGTGGCGCGATATTCGGGGGCCTGCGTCTGCGGCTGTTGCTGCCATGGCCCATGGCGTCCTCTGGGTGGGAGCTCGAGGAGCCCCGGCGGCGGGGGGCTCTGGGGGGGGCGGGGGCGTTTCTGCAATGCCCGACGAGCTTTGGCCCCACTCCCATATGGCGTTTGACTTCGGACGTGGATATGGCGGCAGCGTCGAGCCACGGCTCAGGGCATTTGGTTTTTAGCTTAAGGATTGGAGTAGGATTGCCCGATGGCCCCCAAATCGCTGCGTGGCTCACGTGGGCTTCTCGCGCGGGAGATGTGTTCCGAAGCGGGGGTTGCTCCGCTCGGCGCTCACGGGATCGGTGCAGACTCGACCCACTGCCCTTCCTTCTAGAGGCGATGGCGACCCACGGCGCCCCCGGCGCGGATGCAACCGTGAACGTGGTGTCCATCTGTTTTGGGAATACGTGGCCACTTCGGAGTTCCTGGAAATGTCGGGGGCCTGTGCGAAGCGAGTGGCCGGCGCGGTCGCCGAGGTCCAGTGCGTCTGGCTTCGCGGCCTCGGACCTGGACTTGCGCGCCTCCCCCCCTGGCGCCCCGATCTCCCAGGCAGCGGGGGAGTTGGGAAGGACTCGTGACTGGGGCGCTGCAGGCCCGAGTGGAGGTGAGTTTCCGAGGGGCGAACGTCGACGGCGTGCGGCGTAGGGCCTTGTGGTTTTTGACCATGATGTTGTGGTCTTTTCCCGATTGTCCGGTTATGCCATCAAGTTTGCAGCGGCGGGTGATAACGCAGGCAAGCAAAGCAGTCCATCAACCGAGGCGAGGCACGAGTTCTAGTTTCATTCCTGGAAGCTTCTCCCGTCGGGGCAGTCTTGAGCTGCTCGACGGCCTTGGGCCATGTGGCCCGCGGTTTGGGTGGCCCCCGAACCTCGTTTGCGCCGCCTCGATCTTTGGGGCAGGGACTAAGATGCCCTGTGGCTTCCCGAAACGCGGTTTTTGTCAAGATCCCGATCCACCCCGAGATGCAGGGCGCCCGTCGCTCGAGGGCTGAAGCCGGGAGCGGCGCTGGTGATAGCCGTGGCGGATGAGGTTGCGGGGGCCTGCGCCGCCCTCGCGCGGGTTTTTATCGCCGTGTCTGCGTCGGTTCGGTTCGCCGGCGGCTTCGCTCGCAATGCGCGGAACCATCTCGCCAATGGTATGGCTGACGTTTGTCGGGCCGGGCGAAAGGGGGGGATTGGGAAAGGGGGGGTTACGAAATCTGCTGCATGCAGCTGGTTTCGGCCTCACCGAGGGGCCCATTCCTCGATCCATAGCCGCCTCCGGCGCTGGGAGGCGCCGGGAAAATCAGCTACGTGAGCTGATTCTCACCCCCCCCTTTGCTATCCCCCCCTTTCGCCCGACCCGAGTTTGCGAGGAGGAAGGTCGCAGATTGCCGCGCCCCCGTCGTTTCAGGGCGCGGCAGACGGCCGCGTGGCTGTCGCGTGGAGCGGCCCCCGCATCAGAGCACATTTTCCTTCGGACATGTGGGGGGCGTGGCCAGTGCTCAAAGTGCGGGCGCCTTGCCAGTTCTTAAGGGGCGGTTTGCTTTCCTTGGGGCCGCGCGTCGGCCCGCGCCATGGTCGGGGGTTGCTTCTCGGCACCCAGGGGCCGCGTGCGTTCGGGCCAGGGGGTGCATCCTTCGCGCCGGTTTGCTTTCTAGCCCGACCGCGCCTTGTTGTGCGGATTCCGAGGTTGTTTTATTATGAGCCAGTCTCGTGAGCTGGCTCCGCTCACAGCCGCGCCGTCGCCAAGTCTGGCCATCGGAGCCTGTCGAGAATTGGCCGCGGCCTCCTCCCAGGCTCGCGTGTCTGGGGGCGCGAGAGGCAAGGGCGCAGGGGGGCGGGGGGGGCGGGGGGGGGCGGGGGCGGGGGGGCAGGGCGCTGCGGCCGCCGCGCGGCGGGCTGCGTTCGACGCGTCGGCCGCCGAGCTGGGCGGCCCAGGCGCCGCCCCGCCCCCGCCCCCCCCCCTCAGGGCCGCAGCTGGGGGCCTGGAAGGCCAGGCTCGATGGCGTCGCAGACATCGGCGGACTCTGACGATTTCCTTTTCGCGCCCCCCGCATGCCCCCCCCCCCCCCCTCCGCGCCCTTGTTTCCCCTGAGCGACGCCGCGGGTCACGCGGGGCGAGGCTTCGTGGGCGGTGGCGGCGAACGGCGGACTCGACTCGGATAGGGCGGGCCCGCCTTTTCCTGTCTCCAGGCGCTCTTCCGATGAGGGGGGGTCGACCCCTGCCTTTCGCACTGGGCCTCCTGCCCGGGCTGGCGTTCTCGCAGGAGGCGCAGCGGTCTGCGCCGCCCCTCTTCCGCGCCCCTTCAGGCCCCCTGCCCCTAGGCCCGGAGCCGATCTCGCGAGTTCGATGGCGCCTCTTCCTCGGGCTGGCGGTGGCGGAGGTGTTTTCCGCGTGCCGCCCGCCAGCCCGGCCCCCCCAGCCCATCCAGAGGGCGTTCGTTCCCGCGGGCGCTTCCCAGTCGGCGCCCGCCCCCCGGGAGCCCATTCGCCCCCGCCTTTCGGACGGCGGGCCCGAGGTGGATGCAGTCCCGCGCCGCCTCGGGAAGCCGCGGGGCGGTGGCGCGGGCCGCGGGGCCAGGGGGAGTCGAGAAGCGGGGCCAGGGAGAAGGGGGGGGAGGTGGGGCAGGGAAAAGGGCAATGGCAGTGGCCAATGGCAATGGCAACTACAATGCAGCGGTTAGAACCCGCAGGCGCACCAGCAGGCTCGCTCGGCCGAGGGCGGGCCTCTCGTGCCCGGCCCTGCCGAGAACCCCTTCATTGGGAGCTACGAGAAAAATGCAAAGTTGACCCTTGCAGCCCAAAGACAACATGCGGCGACTGGGCGTCGGCTGCCAGCGTCAGGAGCGGAGAAGGATTGTCTGGTGGCTCGACCTGACCGTCACGTGGCGCCACGTGGCCTTTAGGGAATGTGTTCCGAGGCGGGGATTGCTCCGCTCGGTGCTCACGGGACCAGCGTGGACTCGATCCCTGATCCTTGTTTCTGGATGGGATTGCGACCCCGAGTGTCCGCCGGCGCCGATGCAACCGTGAATGTGCCAGCCATCTGCTTTGGGAGTGGCATGCGAAATCGGAGTTTCAGGAGATGTCGGAAGCCTCTGCGGGGCGAGGGGCCAGCGCGGCCGCCGAGGCCCAGCGCGCCTGGCTTGGTGGCCTCACCCCGCGGCCCGGGACTCACGCGCCTCCTCCCCCCGGCGCCCCGGACTCCCAAACCGCGGGGGAGTTGCGAGGGACTTGTATTTGGGGCGGTGGAGATGCGAGGTCTTGCGGTTTTTGACCATGACCGTGCGGCCTTTTCCCGAGCGCCCGGAACAGGCGTCGAACTTTTGTGGGAGGTGGAGTTGCAGGCGAGCAATCCATCAACCTGGGGTGGTGGTGCAAGCTTTAGTTTCATTTTTGGAGGCTTCTCCAGCTGTTGGGGATGGATTGGGCAATGTGACGGCCTCGGGCTAATTACGTGGCCCGCGGTATTGGTCGCTTCCAAGCCCCTCAGTCCCACTTCGATCTTCCCAAGCCATCTCGAGATTCAGGAAGCTTTCGCTCGAGGGCTGCACCCAGGAGCGGCGTTGGCGAATTCTGCGGCGGACCAGGTTGCAGGGCATTTCGCTACCCTCGGTCAGATTTCTCTTGCCGTGTCTGCGTCGGTTCGGTTCGCCGGCGCCTTCGCTGGCAAAGTGCAGCACCATCTCGTCAGCGTTATGTTTCGTTGACGTTCTCAAGGGGGAAGGTCGCAGAGTGCCGCGCCCTCCTCGAGTCAGGGCATGGCAGGCGGCTGCCCAGTTGTCGCGTGGAGCGACCGCCGCATCCGAGCGCACCTGCCCTCAGATTTGCGGGGAGTTTGACCAGTGCTCTAAGTGCGATTGCAGCGCCAATTCTCAAGGGGGGCGCTGCTTTCCCTGGTGCTCCGCGTAGGCCCGCGCCCTGGCCGGGGGCTGTTTTTCGGCCCACAGTGGCAGTGCGCGTTCAAACCACAAAGGTGCATCTTCCGCGCGGGCTTGCGACCTGTTGCGGCGCTTAGGCACGAGCCACCTTCGTCGGTCGGCCTCCGCTTGTAGCCGCGCCCCCACCAAGTCCGGCCAACAGAGCCCGTCGAGAATCGGCCGCGGCCTCCTCTTAGGCTCGCGCACCCAGGGGCGCGAGAGGCAGGGGCGGAGGAAGACGAAGGGGCGGAGGAGGAGGGGGCAGAGCGCTGCGGCCGCCGCGCGGCGGTCCTCGTTCGACGCGTCGGCCGCCGAGCTGGGCGGCCCCAGGCGCCGCCCCGCCCCCCCGCCCGCCGCCAGGCCCGCCGCCGCCGCCGTTGCTGCGAGCCAGCCCAGGTGGCGTAGGTGGGTGGGTGCGCGCCACCCTGGGCTGGGAATTGCACGGTTGTGCCAGTCATCGAGATTGCTCGCCATTTTCCTTTTCTATCCGTTCATTCAGGGCCGCAGCTAGAGGTCCAGAAGGTCGAGTTCTTTGCCGCATCGCGGATATCAGCGAACTGTGGCGAATCCTTTTTCGCGCCCCTCCCCCCGTGATCCCCCCTTCCGTGCCCTAGCCGCGTGCATTTTCTTCTAAACGGTGCCGTGGGTTAAGCGGACCCTGGCGGACGGCGGGTTTGACTCGTCTAAGGGCGTGGTTTCTTTTTCCTTTCTGCAAGTGTTCGGCAGGGGGTTGACCCCTGCCTTCTCGAAGTGGACTTCCTGCTCGGGATCACGTCCTTGCAGGAGGCGCAACGCTCTGCGCCCCTCCGTTTCTGTGCCCCTCCCGCCCGCCTGCCTTTAGGCCCAGGGCCAGTCTCGCGAGTTCGACGGCGCCTGTTCCTCGGGCTGGCTGTGGCGGAGGTGTTTTCCGCGTGCCGCCCGCCAGCCCGGCCCCCCCAGCCCATTCCTCTGGCCTGAGGGCGTTCGTTCCCGCGGACGCAGTCGGCGCCCGCTTTTCGAGGGCCCGGGGGCCCTCTCGCCCCCGCCCTTCGGACGGTCGGCCCGAG